CCTCTATATTTTAGTGAAGTATTGAAGGAGTCTGCAACTGTTTACTTTGGTAGTTAAAGTATGAACAAATGTTGCCAGTGACTATTACTACTATAAAAAAAAAACATGGGAGGGTCTCTTGACTCTTTCTGTAGATGACGACGCTCATTAATAAATTTTGTTTTATTTGTGTTACTCTTAACATAGTATCTTTGATTGCTTGCCAAAATTTATGTCAACAACGCAATCAGTATGAGTATTACTTTCGGCTTATACCTGATGACGGAAGCATCATTTTTATTAGCTTTATTTCATTTTATTTTATTTCCATTTATATGTATATAAACCTCGTGTTTTACCTCTCTCGCTCGAATTTCCCGTTTTTATGTTCCCCTCGAGGCTTCTACAGGGAACAACAACCAGCCCAGTTAAAGTTATAGCTCAGGAGTTCTGAGTGAGTTCAGTGGTAGTGTAGCCCTTCTCGTCTGGAACTGTTATGGTTGACTGTGTTGCTGCATTATCATGTATTGCTTATTGTATTAAGGTGAGTCGTTGACAACATGTATTGCTGTAAATTGCTCTATTTTGGTATAATGAACTATATATCAACCTTAATTGGAGAGACATACATATTCGTGAATCCTTGGCGCTCCTTCCAATTTAGCCCATCGGGAACAGGAAATATCTTGATCAAACGAACAATATCTCCGCTAAACAAGGGTGATATAAACTTTATTTATTTTACAATAATTATGAAACAAGTTATTCAACTTATATTAATCACTCTTGTTGGCCCGTATGTTAGCGCGCGGAAGGTCTTTGTGTGGGAGGAAACAGGAGTACCCGGAGAAAACCCACGTAGTTGGGCAGGTGACCCCATACCTTTTCACGTCCGATCGGGGAAGGGTGATATCATTTTTTCTTCCTCCTATCTTCCTTGTATTTAAGGGCAGATACGGAAAAGCATACTCAAAGATGTCGTATGTCTGTAAGATGAATATTAATGTCACGTACATGTTTTTAAATTCTCAAATTGTTTGCTTTAAATCTTCATTGATTTGCAAAAGCAAAAGTAAAGGAGTAGTGAGCTACAAATATATTTATTTTACAAAATATTTCCGTCTTCCTTATCTGAGCATATGATTAATCATCTGACGTAAAATGAGAGATGTAATCGTTCTAAAAATGCGGAAATATTTTGATTTGGCAGATACTAACTCAAAAAAAGGAGCAATGACGTCTGATTGTTTGAGTAGTCTTGGGTAAAGGACCATTGTCTCTAGAAAATATAAAACAATTAAAATAAATCGAGAAACAAAATAAATCTTACATTCTCTGCAGTAAGTGAATCAGCATTCTTCGATCACTTAACTGGCTCATATAACTAATGTAGACGCTCGGTTCCAGCCGACGGTTGCAAGTAAAAGTATCGCACTGTCCTATTTCATAGGCTGTAAGACTTTGTGATTCATTATAATGCTCTGTAACACTCTGACTCTGACTACGTGTAGCTGTGTTGGGTTGACTAATGTCAAGATTGCCTACACTCATAATAAATATAACCAATGTTGACGTTTCATTTTTTATTTGTTGATATGCTATGATAGTTTTAATGCCTGAAAGGTTATAAATACATTCTGTCCATGAAGGTAAATGCTCAGAAATTAATCTTCATCCGTTATATTTGGGTTTGGGGTCCAAGGTCAAAAGTACTCTTAACACTGACAATAATACACTAGAACCGTTAGAACTGGAAATAATTGTTTTAATATGTGTTTCTATTAAAGAATATTTTTGACTCGTTCTTGCAATAAACGTTTATTTCTTATTTCAATACACATTACTCTATAAAACAATAAACGTTTATTTCTTATTTCAATACACATTACTCTATATTACAATAAACATTACCTCGGTATTACAATACACTAGGTATTTTAAATTAGTGTTTCCTTGTTATTGCAATACATATTAACTCAGTATTATAAAACAATTACATATATAGTCTGTGTATTATGATTCACCTAAACTCGGTTTATTTAAATACTGTTGAACCTGCTATTAAAAAAACTTTTGCACTATAGATTCACAATATACGTTATTTAATCAATATCAAATTACAGTATAACTCGGTTTTATAATAATAGATATGTTGACGCTGTATTACCATTCAAGTTAACTTCGTATAACAATAAACACTATTACGATATTACATACACATTAACATTGGAAAATATTGTTTGTTAATAACTATTACAAATGTACCTGTAATACTAACTCGGCATTACTAGAGATGCTTAGTCGCTATTAAATATAATACACGTTAACTCAGTAAAGCAAAACTTTACTTCTTCGCTATAACGAAACACACTAGCTCGAGTCGAACATCGTTTATTCAACCACTACCAATCTGTGTGTCGGCCCGACAATTCATTTTATAGAGAACATGTCTAATTCTTTCTGTTCAAATTGTCCCAGCAATACAGCTTTCTCACAATCCGGTCAATTTTGCTGAGTTGTCGAGACTCGGCTGTATCATGAACGATTTACATACCGACTTACCTTGCAATAAATTATGACTGGCTCCATTTAATTGATTACCGCAATGTTTTACCAACCCTTGAACTAAAACTAAATCACTTGTTTTACACAACCCTGACTCTGCATTAGTTTTCAAGGGTATCCCAATGCACTATACAAGTATATGCGGAGCAATATTTAGCCATAAGGGTTCTTTGGACAAAACTTATATAATGGTTTTCTTCTAGCGTAGTGTGTATCACGTATATATGTATTTTATTTGTACCTTATTGTCTTTCATACATAGCGTATATACTATTTATAAACTGAACGTACAGATAGTAAACGTTAACTTAAAAAATCACGTCCATGAAGTCGTCAATATTCTAAAAAAAATAAGGTCTACTGAAGTAAGTGACCATGCATTTGCTGAAGATCACAATGTCCATATATCTGTTTTGTCCGTTTTCTGATAAAAGGAGATTTTGAAATGTGGTAAATGTGAATATAGCACGGTGTGGCAGGCACTACAACTACAACTTTTATGAACTATAATAGCCGCACAGACAGTGACCATAAACATTTACTCATAAAGGTAAGACATTTCCTGCCGTAAAAAGCACATTATTCTGTCATAACAGTGTAAAATAAAATGTTGGTTAAATATGCTCTGACATTTTAATTAAAATTTAGACTCGCCATTACACAAACGAGTCCATTGATTTCATTTAAAAATCCCGACAATTACACAAATGTTAGGAGGAAACATCAGCAGTCATATTTTTGCAAATACCTATGTTTAGGTTGTGAAGAAACATTTTAAACATGTTCACATCACAAAATATTTTTTTTTGCGTAAAATCGTGACGCATATTTTAGTGTTCAATTCAACATCTATTTTATAAGTACAATAGATAAATTTGAGCACCAGCTCCATGTACTATCATAGGTAGCATTCTCCATAAATAAACACATAAGTGGCAGAGCGAAAAGGAGAACATCCCTAAGAATAAGCACATGCATTTACATTTAAACTGCAACCCACTATATGAACATTACCAGCAGAAATGCATTTCATTTGAGTGTGAAAGCAAAAACTCTCGTAACGTAACACATGGTTTACTTATGACGTCATAGATAAACCTTGTTCAATGAGAGTCTTGTCGCTTCGATTCGGATAACATGGAGAATGCCCCTGCGTCAAACGTTCAAATGACTACGTTTAGCTATTGGCACCAATTTTAATTATATACATGTAAGACTGTTACGCCAAAGTCGTTAAAAGTTACCAACACAAAACGAAAATAATCCCGAACACTACAAAGGAAAGAAGGCGAAACTAGGTATTCAGTCCGCTTTTGGTTAAATGTTTTCTGGTCCGTATATTTTACCTGTCAAGTTCTAGAAAGTGATGTGGTCATTATCGATATATAACCACACATTGGTCAGGCCTTAAACTAGTACAGAATTAAAATCACATATTTAGAAATCATATAAAGATGACCAAAAGTAAAATATCTTTTAATTGGTTAAGAAGCTTATATTGATTCTAAAATAGTCCTTTAATAAATAAAACTTCAAAACTCTACAAACTCTAATCGACTAATTCAGTTCAACTGTAATCTCTGTAGTGTAACAGATAGTCCGCTGAAATATTGTATTCTTTTAAAATATTTAGCATGCTAACAATGCCATCCAGTGTTTATTTTTCCCTGGCTTGGATTTTGACATTTGACAAAGTAAGTCTCAATTCAAATGAAAACAGTGTATTGCTGTCTTCACTCACGGGAAATTGCCTGACAAATTGAACCTATTCAGAAAGGTTATCCCTTCCTGATCTTGTTTGTTTTTCGTCCATTTTCTAACGTTGCCTTCGCAAATAGCACCCACAAAGACAGCAAAAGAAACTAGCCCTGGACAGGTTCTTTCGTTTCCTTACGAGGCTAGTGTGTTTGATATCGAATATGATATTTGTCTCTAGCAATTTTTTTCCCCGTGTGATGAACTATTATGTACGTGACAAAAGTGTTATTTTATGGATGTTTAATAATTCAACAGTTCATGATTATGAATCTTTTGGAATTACTAAAAATGTTTACCCTTTAAGGGCGAGGTCGGGAAATTTCAACCCTAAGGGGGAGGATTCTGAAGTTGTTATTCTTAGGGTGTGGTGGCTTAAAGATCTTTACACGAGGGTTGAGATTACCCATCACACCTCAATGAGGTGAATTATACAAAATGCATTATTGTCATTACGTCAATGAATTGTTGCCGTGGCGTCATTGTATTACTAGTGTGAGGTCATACAACTTTAATGCATAGGGGAGTCCCCCGTCTCAACCTTAGGGTGAGACAACGATATCTCACATCAGGAAAAATGTCCGGGTAAAAGATAATATAAATAATTCGAAAATACATTTGACAGTCAGCTTCTTGACATATTGAAACACTTATCAATTTAAATTTGGGTTACCAATATTTGTAGACGACAAATTTTTCGCTCAGTTCGATTGGATAGAAAACTATCCTTTTATTATAAATAAATACATAACAATTAATATAAATAAATTGAATATCCAATAATAATACATAGTATATGTACAACAATGTGGCAAGCTCGAGGAAGGTCAGGACTGCGTCATCTGTGGTGAAACTGTCAATTCTAGGTAGGTTGGTGGATCCTTCGTATATGGTGGACAGTTTGAAACCGACACCTCCGATTTAGATACATCCTGTGTCACGTCTGTAAAAGTGTATGGCGGGGGAGGGTCTGCATCCGTTCCGTTTTGCACAATAGCAGATATTGTTGGTAATGTTGGAGTAGGAGCTGTGCAGAAAATATAACAGACTTTAATGTTCAGTTGAATTTATGTCTGCAGAAAAACACTAGTACTCTATTCCGTCTTTGCGTATTGCAGAGTTATCTTCTCTTATGAGCAGGTATTGATTCTTACTTCATTTGTTTGTGAGAGTAACGTCATCAATTTTTGAGAAAACGACGTAATTTTCTCACACAAACCAATGACGTAATAATCAATACCTGCTCACAAGAGAAGATAACTCTGCAATACGCAAAGACGGAATATCGTTATAGTGATTAAATATCTATTTTATTTATTAAATAAAAACTATTAAACAATTCATATCAACTTATATCAATCGGTTGTGTTTACCCCGATGTAAGCGCGCAATGGGAATCCCTGTTGTAATACCAATTGCAAAACGAGGTGCTTTGCGAAATTCAGTCAAACTTCCATAAATCGAACTTCGATTATTCGAACTTCTCGATGTGTCGAACTTACGGCAAAGTCCAGATTTCCCTCATTATATAACACTACTAATATTCTTTTCATGAATAGAACTTTTATAATTCGAATTTCTGTCTGTTTTGAAGTATAATCAAGGCCGTTATAAAAACATTGACAATTACAAATAATTAAACCAAAGTAAAGTAATCACCTGCACTAAAACATTGAACTGTCCCGTGGTTACTTTTATAACTTTTGTTGTGGAAATACTAAAGTACAGAAAACAATACTTACCTCCTTTTGTTTTTATAAAATTTCGAAAAATTGATACGCACAAAGTATGTATGAGGGAAAGGGTGATATTTTGATATTTAAGAAACATGGATTTTTCATTCTTTTGTACCACTGTTCCTAAATAAACGAAAAGGTCATATGGTTCAGTTAAATATTGACTTTGGCTATCTGCACATGAACACATATTTTTCTTATCAAAAAGGTCATAATTATTTCTTCATAAATTTAATGCTTATTATACATACTTCTTGCAAATTTTCTTTGACACGACCGGATACTATGGGTGAGGCAGGCGACTAAAAGTATTAGAATGATGAGGGTGATGACTGGCGAGGCGTAGAACAAAATCAGGTCTGGAATATCACTGTAACAATTAAAAACACGTGTCAAATAACCATCTCTGCCTATAGAAATGTCGCACATATATGAATGCTAACATATCACCACGTTCAACTAGACGCTTGATCGATTGTAATTCAGGAGTCTGGTCAGACTCAGTTATAATCCCAATCACCAGAGGGTAGTGGTTTTACTTACGTTTGCGGACGTTATGTCATAGTTCGTTAAACCTGACCAAAATCGCAGGCTCAAAAATTCTGATCGGTCGCCTGTTTAATGTCATTGGAGTGTATCGATAAACGGAAACAGGAAGTACATCCCTAGTTGAAAATCCAATGTAGGGAGACAGTATCACAATTTCCTTAAATTCTAATGTTTAATATTAAACTGATGAATATTGTATGTTTATTATTGACAGAACCGTGTGTTCTCTCAATATTAAAGTATTTCAAAGCAATCCAGGCATTACTTCAGGGTTTTTTATTATCAATGAGTCACATGTGTCCATTTTTCTGTACTTCAGGAAACCGGCTACCTATTTCACTACTGTGAAGTTTTTCAAGAACGATAACTCTTACCTGCAATTACTATGTGTATATGGTTTTATTATAAAATGTCAATTTTTATATCGTGTATAGAGAATTAATTTTACACAATTTCAGCATTTATTAAATTGATATACTTTAATGCAATACTAACATATGCCAGTATCATGTCTATTGACATTATTTTGTAAAAATATTGTGTCTTTCATATTTTTTTTCAAAATTCACTCCTTTCTACATAAATGTCCATTTAAAATCCTTAAAATTCTGACAACCTATATTTATTTTGCGGCAGAAAATTTTCTTTACTTTAAAGCAATTTAATTACAAAATTTGAAGAAATTCTACTGAGAAATGGCGACACAATCCTATTACCTTAAGCGATCGATCAGAATTTTTGAGCCTGCGATTATGGTCAGTTTTAGCGGACTAGGTATGTCAACGCCGTTAAAACATTTCAAGGAATAATGAAATTAATTTGAAAAAACTTACCTGTACATGCGTACCTGAAGTATCCGTTTATTCACTATAATCGAGAAAAATGTAAGAAAATGTGTCAAATCTCCAGAATAGTACATATATTTCCACTGAATAAATCACAACTGATTATGAGCACAAAGCCAACATGGCTGACTGAGGTTGGAAAAAAAACATGCATAACATGTGAGATTTTACCTGTACACCATTCAAAACACTACATTTTCTCTCTCAGGTAATCTGGCTTGACTTGTATCAGTAGCCTTGTTAGCTTCATGAATTATTGTAAAATATGCATAAAATACATGCAATCATTCTTGAGATTTGAAGCATTTTCTTACATTTTTCTCGATAAAAGTGAATACACGGATACTCCAGTATTGCGTGTACAGGTAAAAAAAATCACGAATTAAAATATTCATTGCAATTTTGCGCGATTCAAATTTTGCATTCAAAAGTTAAAAAGTGTGTGTCTACCTTTGACCAATGAAATGATTTACCAGATATCTGGTAAGCTTCATTCTGACTTAACGAAACGATACCGTCGACTTTGACCAGACTCTCTGTTGGGCATAGCTTGTCAAGACAACAAGAGTCTTGTTGAACGAGACTAGTGAATGCTTTTGTGTTGATTTTATCAATTGGGTTTAGTATCGACCGTGTTGGAGCCGAAGCATTACCTTTTTGCTTTTGAACTAATAATCCTCCCCAAAAAAACAGACTTTTCAGGCCTATGAAACAAAATTCTGGATTTTTTGTTCAATTTCTTAACAAATGTTAAATGTTCTAAATACACACTTTTATGCATTGAATAAACAAAGGAAGTGAAACGATAAAGATACACGATCATCTGAAGTCGTTTTCTTGAGGATTTTACTTAATAATAGTATTAGATATCGTCGTCGATTTCACAGATGCGTTACGAAAAAGACGAACAACCTTAATTAAATTATGTGCAAGTCAAAAACTAAAACAAAACATAAGTATTATGTCACGGGAGAGTATCGATTCAATACGACAGGAACAATTATTAATTTTTTGTAAGTAATCGTTTACAAAATATTTCTGGAAATTATTTAAAACAAAATTTGCTTTAAACTTTAAAAATACAAACATGTTTACACTGTCGAAACATTACATTGAATAAATTAACCCATAGCAAACGTTAAGGAAAGTTTCTGACATTGTTTTACTGCCATTTCGTTACCTAAAGCAACTTAGTTGATGATTTATTGATAAATTACAGAAGACATGTCTCGTTCCTTATTAGGAGCAAAGCCACAATGTTACAAGGTGTGTGTGTGTGTGTTTAAAACATGATGCACATATACGTTAAACATAACGTCTGTTTCTTGAAATAAAGTTCACCGATATGACATGTATACAATGATCAAACTATGATGTACAGATTCCCTTGTATCATAGACTAATCTTTAGTGTATGTACTTACGCCTTGGTTGTGGAACTTTGTGGTTTTATTGTCGTTGTGGAATAGAAATCTTGTCCGACGGCAACTACAGTGAAAACAAACCGTGTTTAGATAGGAGATAACTGATCAATGATAATACATAATACTTCTGAAAGATATTTTGAAAACAATAACATTATTTAACAATTATTTGATTTGAATGCTTATTTATGTCAAATCTCAAATCAAAATCATGAAATGGACTAATCAACCTTAATCCAATTAAAATTCATTCACTTATTAGTTTTCTATCATACGACTTCCTTGTTATGTGTTTGCATGTGTGTCATTCCCGTTGTTTTTATCTACCATTGTGATCAATGATCAATCACCTGATATGACACTTGACAATCTAAACAAAACGCAAAAACTGATATGACAATTGATTTAATGTGATAAAACTCTAAATATAGGACATTGATCTGCAACGTTTGTTTAACAGTGAGATTTAAGGGTTTATCATGAAAATGAAGTTGACATTTTCCTAGTGATTTATTTACCACAACAAATGGACCAAATAGAGGGCAGTATTGTGTTTATTTGAATATCAAGAAAAATGTCGTGATATAATGGGGAAGTAAACACCAATATGATGTGCCTAGTCAGTGTTAATCGTTGCATTTTTATTAATTATATAATTACAAGAAATTGTTATTTATTTTCGTTATTTTGGAGATGTTTTGATTCATGTTCGAAAATATTGTAATATCATAATCGTAACTCCTGTTATGGGTAATGTCTTTCTCGACCCCAAACTTTGCCGTGTTTTACGTTGTGACTAAGTCTACCATTATATACAAATGACATATGTCACTTTAAAATAAGTAACATATGAGTGACTACAAGGATAATACATTTAATAATTTCAAGGCTTATGATTGGATATAGATTTGACGCATATCAAAAACAACAAGTAAACTATTAACACACGTTCCTGTTATACAAGCGATACATTATCAAGTATTTATAATTAAACACGTAACCAGTAGATTTCAGCAGTATTTTGGTAATTTTAAAATAGAAAGAATAATTTCTATAAAAAAAGGTTAATAGAAGTGCCGTTTCAATTCGCAACATATACCAATCGATATTTTTCTTCTGGCTTATCACATGACCAAACAAAAGCTTCCAATAAACAGTCAACGATTCCACAGTTTAATGTTGTAAAGGTCAAACTCACTACATAATAATGTTAAGGTAAATGTAGAAACATTTTAAATTGCTCACTCAAGTTGTAATTAAACTGACAATGCTTTATTTTCCGTATCCAAAACATATTTATTTTAGAGCTTTATGTATGATATAATTGGTATTTTGAAGTAATACAGGATGTCACACTCATTTATTTGTATGGTTATGTGATATGGTCCAATGCACAAGCACGTATGTTTTAAATAGGCTAATCTAGCCTGGAGCCACTCACATGTGTATAAGAATTGTTCTTATGGTGAACATCCGAGATCATTGAAAAGTTATATATGTAGTGGAAAGCGTTTTAAAGAAAAGCACGTAACAGCATTATTGACGGCCGTGGACCTCATGGGGACGACGGTCAGGTAACTCACAGTTGAGGCTTTATATCCCCAATTACATCACGCTTTCCCCCGCCTATGTGTTGTTGACGATTAATTGTCAGCAACCATAGCATGACTGACAAAAAATCTATAGAGTTATAATGTATTGGTCAAACGGTTGCCGAAATATTTGCTAAAATCATATCAAGCTTAATCTGATATGATCGGACGTGAAATGGTATGGGGTCACCAGCCCGACCTCAAGCGCGCTATCATCCGGGCCAAAAATAATTATTTATCTAATACTGTTTCGTATGAAATATATATCATATAAACTTCATTTTTTTACAACAATTATGAAACAAGTTATTTCAGCTTATATTAATCATTCTTGTTGGCCCGGATGTTAGCGCGCGGGGGTTTTATTGTGGGAGGAAACCGGAATACCGTAGAAAACCCACGTAGTCGGGCTTTTGTGAAATGCAAGTGCGCTATCCACTCCACCACCCGACCATCCCTGTTTCGTAATTGTTATGAAATAAATATGTTTATCTTTTATCTGATATGACGTCCTTGTATCTATTGAATAGATAACACATATATCTGAACGTTTAACGAGTTTAACTCCGATATCAACATTTCAGTCTAATACAGTAGATACAATGTAAACTAATAATAGATCAGTCCTGTGATAACATCATATATCATGAAATATTTGCCAACGACAAGTTCGATGACCTTGCGCATCGAGTTATTCAAGATAATGTTTACACAAATCGGACAGCGCCTGTTTTGATTATTCGTCTGATCAATTTGAAATAGTAGGACATTTACTTTTCACAAATGTTTTACATATCCATATTCATATTTAACATAAACTGAAAACAGTAAGATACATGTATATCAAATTGTGAGGTCGAATCTTAATAAATAAGACGGTAAGTATCCACAATATGCCAATGGGCTCCAATATTGTGACGTCACAGTTATATAACGCTGCGAGTTATGGCCATGTTTTAAATGAGAATCACTTAACCAACGCTACATCATGTGACCACGCTTTCATGCTAGTAGGTCTATCATATAAAGCTTTAGATATTCTTAGAAATGAGTCACAGTGACAGGAACACATCATTGTTACGTGGTCGATAAATACACTTTCACTTTTTTATTGGTCTACATTAGTATTTAATGTCATTGTATAATGTTTAATCAGTCCTACGAATAACAGATACCTAAGAAATGCACGTGTTTTTTTTCAATTCTTGAAAACTTTTTACATAATTCTAAACAATTTAATGATTTTTGTATTTTCATATTTACATACTTAAATACTTACGACTTCCAAGCATACGCATCTTCCCTGTCATGTCTATGACAATAGCTTTGGCCTATGATTTGCCAACAGGTATTTCTTCTACCACGGATATCTTGCCTATACAAACGTGTTCGCCCAGCCTTTGTTACTGTTATTCTTGTTAATGAGTTATGCAACACAACAGGTACATATGTGCAGCAGTACGGATATATACATATGTATAGTAGTTAGCCTTTGTCTTTGTTTTCGTGTCTGACACGTTTTAATAAGTTTATGGACGAAACCTTAGCCGACATACGCGGAAATTTATATACATACAATATTATGCAAAGCACAGACGATGGCTTCTACAGCATTTTGTTTTAGAAATTCTGAGGTAACTACAAGCATAGACACGGACTTTTGAGTATAGTCCTGGTGTTATAGTTTGACTGATGAGTGATTTGGTTCAAATTATGTATAAGTTGAAGCATAGGGGTATAAATATATAAATGATTTAACAAACAAAGCACAGTTGTCTTTATAAGGCATCTATTTCAAAACTAATTGATTACAGGCATGTGCACCGAATAAATTGAGTGTTTCCTTGTGTTGTCGGTATAGCCTGGCTAACATGCTGGCTCATATTATGAAAAAGTTATGAATTGTTTTGTCCCTGTTCTGTTAATATATTAGAAGAAGTACAACTCTGAAACGTGTGTGTAACATACCTTCCAATGCGTAAAGAAGAACAAGAACCACTGTCTGGTGCGTGAGTCCTGCCATGGCCTTCAGTATCCGTATAATGGGAACTCTTTAGCGTTAGGTCTATTTGTGTTGATACTATGTATGTGTATTTACCCGTAAACCCGACCGGATACTAATCGCAGTTACTGGGGTGGAACACTCTGCATGATCCATATACTACATATATATATATATATATATATATACACACACAAGGTAGGTATAACCGTCTTTGTACCCAAACATAATGTTATTTACACTATATAATACACACAAGGTAGGTATGTTATTTACATACACAGGGTGTCGATAACGTATTCATTAAATGTGAAATGTGAAATGTGACACACATGTTGTTGTTTTTTTTGTGAGAACTCGGATACTCGGTGAGCCGAGTCACGTGTTGTTTTGATCTGTTTTAGTCCCTGTAATCGGATACGTTAATATCTATGGCGTGTGACAGTCATGTACGGAATGTTCCTGAAAGACAGAAACGCCACAGAAACGCTAGCTTAGAAAATACACGATATCATTATTAAAATTATGGCCTGTAAACTATAGATATATGCTCCCTTTTAGAAATATTTGTGATTACATTTAATACTTTTAACGCTTTTCAAATATTAACACTATTTTTATATATTTATTGTTTCAAAAGGGTCATATCTCAGGGGCCTTTGTAGGTAGGGGACACCAAATTACTTAGAAACCTAGGATATGCTACTTTCTTTTTCTGTGATAATTATTATTGCTTTTTATCATATATGTGATTATCTCACTTTACTTGTAAAATAATATGTTTTTGGTATTTTACATATGTTTGTCGCAATAATAACTCTCAAGAGTTAATGCTCCTTGTTTACCTGTATGCGACGTTAAATAAAGTTTCTTGTATCTTCTATTTGTTCAACTTCGGGAATTCGATTTTTGATTAATTCCCGCTAATATTAGGCATTGTAAAATAATGTCGAAACGAATGTATGCTGTAATTATGTACAACATTTCAACATTAGAACATGTTTGAGGTAGAACTATAAATTGAAGGGCTGTACACTCACGAGAAGTTCACTGTTCCTTTGTCTGGTGCCTAGCAGCGACGTGTTCTCTCAGTATGTACATTAGCAACTGTGCCTTCTATCTTTTCAATTTAATTCAATTTGCCCCATAATTTATATGAAATGCTATTATTTTGCTTATTAGAGTAAAAGACATATATATCATTTGATTAAAACATATGATAAGCATTTATCTGAAACAAAAGTCGAATTGACACTTTTGGTATAATTAACAATATGTTTATTTTCACCTTTTTTTAGTATAAATATAACATTTTATGTTAAAAAGAAAATGCATAATGATTATAAAAATGATCTGTGTAAAAGAAATAGAAATTATAAGAAAGATAAATCAACCCAATTTGTAAACGATAAACTTATGGTTTATTGATAAAAAAAAATGTGGAATTTACGATAAACGATAAACTTATGGTTTATTGATAAAAAAAAATGTGACTTTAGTCTATACCTTTTTGTATACAATGGCTTTTAAAGATAATATATCTGATAAGGCACTACCGACGTGTTTTGCTTGACCGGCTGTTGCTAATCAGCAACAGTACTCATGCTTATTCTGACAGGGGGAGATAGCATACTATCATACTTATTCGAATCGAATTGTTTATTGTTTTGGTGTTCCCAATTTTTGAAGTTATCTCCCTTGATCCATGTTCTGGAAATTATTTGCGGGAAGATACAGACAGCCAAACAAAATATGCAGTTTACTGGCAAATATAGCTAGTTCGTTCATTTAAGGACTCATCAGTGCCACTAAATAATGAAAGTTCACGTCTGAGGTGTTACTGGTAACATACAAAATATAGCAAAAAGGGAAATATGCCTGTAAGTGATGTCCTGGGAACAGATGGGGAAGTTTTTACAACATGACTACCATCTTTTGCTTACCCCTTTCTAACCACGTTCCTGATTAGAACCCAATAACTTACCTCTGCAGTAGGATGTCCAAACTGTCTATTACATTTCTCCTTTTTACCACTTACCAATCCTTGTTTTTAGCTGGGGCAGCTCCGTCAGTAAAAACTGTCTCCGCTCAAACCTCTTGCCGTAGTGCCGTAGTGCCGTGCCAATACGACTGAGATATGTGGTTTAGGGTGCCAATCAAACATGGTGGGTAGAATACAATACACTTTATCGTATGCTCAGTGGATAAGGAAAACACTTATGAAAAGAATTGCAACTTAACATATCATTTCTAATCAGATTCCTGGCAGTTATCTTGGGCAGCAATCATTTAATGAAAATGCGTCAGAACATCCTAACAGGTCAATAGGCGAAATAATTTAACACTCCAGCTGTATAACACATTTCTCATGCCCTGGTTAAACTGCAACAGGCGATTATCTCGAATCTTATCAATCTAACAGTGATATTCGCAAACTGGTTAGTAATTTGGTTAAGTTGAAAATTGTGGTAATAAAGATCATTCTGAAAATATCAGACAACTTGCTGTTTGCAGCATTTTTTGAGTAAGCATTAGTTCTAGACACTGAAGTACTTGGTATGATAGGCCATCGAAAAATCATGATTATGCTTGGATAGCCATTCTGTTTTCGAGCCACTAACCATTAACTCGTAATCATAAGACAGGTCTATTGCCAGATGAATTTCTGCATGTATTCTAGATATATATTACAAACTTAACTAAGTTCTGCAATTTAGCAATCTTTAACTAAACCTGTACTATACCGAAACAAATCGCTGTATGTTAATTATCATCAACGCAATGAGGGCTAATTCATCATGAGGGTGGATATAAGTTGACATCATACCATATATACTACGGTGATAGTAACGTTTGTGGTTATTGGAGGGCGTTTAGTGTATGTTCATGACTGCATTGGACTAGTCCTGTAATCATATAAATGTAGCCTATTAAAGGTTGCACATTTAAAAAATAGCAATATATATTTCGTATAATAAAACAAATAAAATTTAAAGATATCACAACCATAATCCTTTTCTTGATTTTAATATATGAATAACATATACGTAAACAATTATAACAGGATTATAACCTCATTTAAACTTGGTCTGAAAAAATATCATGAATTATTTTGAAGTACTGTCAGCTCTAAATAAGTCGGTGGATCCTCTGTATATGCCGGACAGTTTGTTAATGATTCTTCCGGTAAGAATGCACCATGGGAAATGTCTGTTAATGTATAAGGAGGAGGCGGTTCGCAATATAATCCATTTTGGACACTTCCTGATATTGTTGGCAGAGTTCGTCGACCTGAAAACAACATATTAAGTCTATAAATGCAATACTAAAGGTAATCAACTATGTCCTTTGTGTTAATACATATATAGTAAAACAAATACCTGTGTTCATGTCTGTCTGTTGGTTATATAAAGTAATTTGTCTGCCTGTAGTCATGTCTGTCCGTTGTTTATATCAAGTATGGGTCAAAGTGTAGTTTTGTCTGTCCGTTGTTGATATAAAGTAATACGTCTTCCTGTAGTCTTGTCTGTCCGTTGCTGATATATAGTAATGAGTCTACCTGTCGACTTGTCTGTCTGTTGTTGATTTATAGTAATGAGTCTACCTGTAGTCTTGTATGTCCCTTGTTGATATAAAGTATGAGTCTAAGTGTAGTTTTGTCTGTCTGTTGTAGATATATAGTAATGAGTCTACCTGTAGTCTTGTCTGTCCGTTGTTGATATAAATTAATACGTCTACCTGTAGACTTGTCTGTCCGTTGTTGATTTATAGTTATGAGTCTACATGTAGTCATATTTGTCCGTTGTTTATATAAAGTATGGGTCTATCTGTCGTCTTGTCTGTCCGTTGTTGATATATAGTAATGAGTGTTCCTGTCGTCTTGTCTGTCCGTTGTTGATATATAGTAATGAGTGTACCTGTAGTTCTGTCTGTCCGTTGTTGATATATAGTAATGCGTCTACCTGTCGTCTTGTCTGTCCGTTGTTGATATATAGTAATGAGTGTACCTGTAGTCTTTTCTGTCCGTTGTTGATATAAAGTATTGAGTCTATCTGTCGTCTTGTCTTTACGTTGTTAATATAAAGTATGGGTCTAAGTGTAGTTTTGTCTGCCCGCTGTTGATATAAAGTAATGAGTCTACCTGCTGTCTTGTCTGTCCGTTGTTGATATAAATTAATGAGTTTATCTGTCGTCTTGTCCGTCTGTTGTTGATATATAGTAATGAGTGGACCTGTAGTCTTGTCTGTCCGTTGTGGATATAAAGTATGGGTCTAAGTGTAGTTTTGTCTGCCCGCTGTTGATATAAAGTAATGAGTCTACCTGCAGTCTTGTCTGTCCGTTGGTGATATAAAGGATGGGGCTAAGTGTAGCTTTATCTGTCCGTTGTTGATATAAAGTAATGAGTCTATCTGTCGTCTTGTCCGTCTGTTGTTGATATATAGTAATGAGTGTACCTGTAGTTTTGTCTGTCCGATGTTGATATAAATTAATGAGTCTATCTGTCGTCTTGTCCGTCTGTTGTTGATATATAGTAATGAGTGTACCTGTAGTCTTATCTGTCCGTTGTTGATATAAAGTAATACGTCTACCTGTAGACTTGTCTGTCCGTTGTTGATTTATAGTTATGAGTCTACATGTAGTCATATTTGTCCGTTGTTTATATAAAGTATGGGTCTATCTGTCGTCTTGTATGTCCGTTGTTGATATATAGTAATGAGTGTACCTGTAGTTTTGTCTGTCCGATGTTGATATAAATTAATGAGTCTATCTGTCGTCTTGTCCGTCTGTTGTTGATATATAGTAATGAGTGTACCTGTAGTCTTGTCTGTTCGTTGTTGATATAAAGTATGGGTCTAAGTGTAATTTTGTCTGTCCGTTGTTGATATATAGTAATGAGTGTACCTGTAGTTTTGTCTGTCCGATGTTGATATAAATTAATGAGTCTATCTGTCGTCTTGTCCGTCTGTTGTTGATATATAGTAATCATCAGCATCATCACGTCCTAGACAGGAGCTGACCCATAGTGGTGCGGTGCTCTAGCGATGAGTCTAACTGTAGTCCTGTCTGTGTCTGTTTATATAGAGAGTAATTAGCCTACCCTGAGTTTGATGATTTATTTGCGCCATTTCGCATTTGAATGTTTATTAACTTTTAATTCTCGTTGATACGTCATTTCATCCCTAAATGACGACATTCAGATTGGTTTGCTAAAACCCGGTCAGTGCGTCTTTCGTCTTAATCAAATGACAAAAACACGCGAGCTAATTTGCTAGCTTTAATTCTTTTTCTTTTTTTATAGTAGAAACCTCATATTTAGTTTGTTGTTCCTGTTCTTTGGTCTTTTAAACTGAAAACAAACTAAACGTCAGATTTGTTTATACTCATCTATTAGGGGCGAAAAGACGAGGCAACAAAAAGACGTGTGATTTGTCGGTTTTTTAAGCTGAAATGTCGTCATTTCGGAGCAAAAGGACGAAACAACAGCCATTTGAAGTTAACAAGTTGGGTCGAAAAGTCAAAATAACGTCATTGCGCAAATCAGCCACCATACTGTTGCAGTGTGTGTCCGCTGTTGATACAGGTATAACAGCTTTTAACCTTCCTTTGTGATTGTCTATCCGCTTTTGAAGCTACACTCACGAACCTACCTGTAGTCATTTTTGTCTTGCACTGTCGTATGAGATGATTCAGACAGAATATACAGATTAGGAGGATGACGACGGTGAGGACGGGCGATATGTAGAACATGACCATACTGGATAACTCGCTATAAAAAACAAACCAATATATTACTTTTTTAACACGGAAATGCAATATGAGATTTTACTTTTTCAATTTAAACAAATAGACGTAAACATATACATTGTAGGTTTATCACAAAATGACGAAAGTCACCACCAAAGCGATGAAACGAAAAGTGCCAAGGCTTATGAACGAAAAGTCGATACGAAATGATTAAATTTCATGAATATACCTTACTGAAGCACATTTGCAATTTCTATTTATGTTTGAGAAAGTAACAATATTATATATGAAATCATAACATGTCATAAAGGTAGTGTCGAGTAAACATTATTTCCATTGCTTATCGCGAAAAGTTTAAATCTACACTTCATCGTCGAAAAATAGGTTTTGTATAAGGATGAAATCAATTGATGCATCATTTCTATACTCGTTTGATAAGTTTTAAAACCCAAATTGTCTTTCTACTTATTCTTCCACAACTGTCGTCATCAAACGAGATATTTGAAGAAAAGCACTTACGGCATCGGAGTTGAACTGTCAAAATTAATGTTGGCCATATTAAAATGCTGTGCATAAGCAACTGAAATAACAAAGTGAAAAATTAAGCATTTTCAACTTTCCAAGAATGATGTCCACTGTCAAGAAGTAAACAAAATTAAGGGCCGGGATCAGAAATACTTTTCTCAATTGAGAAATAACGACATTTTATTGTCTCTAAATTGTCGTTGTCTCGTCAGTTTGCTTTTGATGAAGATAGAAAATTATCAACAAATAATTGTCGTAGTATGTTATTAACTATCTCGCCCTTTTTTTCTTTTCTTTTCTTTTGCTATTTTGGTTGGAAATAACAACATTTAGCAAAATAAAACAGGCCGTTGTTTCATTATTCTGCAACGACACAACGACTTCTTTTAATTTAAAATCTCGTGATTTTGCGGCGGCAAAACGAAATAAAGCCATTTGTTAGCGAAAGACTTTTTTTGTAATGCAAATAGAAAAGTAGAAATGATGATTTAAAAGAACTCAGTAATGCATGTGTGATATACTCAGCTTTTTGTTGTATGACAAATAAAATATGTTGGTAAATTCTTAGAGGTTACATAACAACGTTTTACTTTATACACAAACAATGCACATTGTTTCAAGACCGATTGGTATCTTTGTCAATCTATTTATACCTGCGCACAGCAGTCAACCCTTGAAGCGCAAGTCAGTCATAGCTTGACAAAGGGACCAGTCGGTCTTGAAACAGTGCGACACGTTTAATACATACATTGTTCGTGTATAACGTAACACTTTGATAGTACATGTTTCCAAACTGCATGGTAAATCTTATTGAAGATATCTCAGGGATAACGATGTATTTTATTGTTCATGTACATCAAAAGGTTCGCTCCCAAATGCTGCATATTTGTTTTTCATTTCGTTATCAATTTATAACTTTATTCACATTTTTTCTTTAAGATGTTACTAAGATGCAAATAAATGTAAATTTAAGCTGAACTTGATACACCAAAAGTTTAACGTGACAATAGAAAAGCAGACATGACGCACACATCCCCGTAATCAGGTTACTTATCCACTATAAATAGACAGGCAATAAATCAGTGTAACCGACCGGACTTTTATTGACGTAGCAAAAGACGGTCTTTTCAATTTAAAACAAAAGTACAACATACAAAATATACACGTCAAGTCTATCTACACTTATAGTTAGTATCCTTGGCCGAATTGTAGCCAGGTATTATCTTGTTTGTCTCGTATGTCTGTGTTATGTAATAGTTTAATGTGTCGTGAAAAGTTTTATGATTTTAGGAAAAGCATACTTCAATATGTTTCCTATGTTCGCCAGGTTTCTACCAGAACTACACGTTCTTTTAACAACTTTATGTGAAAAAATGTAGAGCAACTTATTTTAAGATGTTTTAGGTTGTGTGTGAGCATTTCAAGAAACAATTTCGAGAGCTCATTGCATATTCTACCTATTCTAGAGTCTAAATGCATTCCCGCAGAGGCTTTTATAAATGTGAGCATTGTATGGACCAATTTAAAAAAACTCACTCCATTTATTAACCAAGTCTAGACCTGTGTGTTTGAAGAAGGAATACCTAAGAAACTGTTTTAGATGCGACGAATAGTTTGATAGTTTAACTTGTCAGGATCTGGACATGTGATATTGTTATTGTATATTTATTTTGTTATGTCATCGTATGTATCCTGTCCGTAGTAAATTGTGTATTGCAGGGCCATATTGTAAATTATATGTACATCTTGATATGTAACTCTGTCTAAATTTTTAAAAAAAAGTATAAATAAAACATGTCTTTGCTAGAAAAATCACTTGACGCAAGAAAACCATCGTATGACATTGTCACTTTCATATCTTACCAAATTCGGATGGCATCCATACACAATGTACAGTAGGTTATAATGCCATGAGCCGATTGTTGATATCATCAACAGTATGACGGCAAAATTGCAACGTTTGATACTACTAACCATCCCTGCAGAATTGGGGATTTGCTTTTGTGCCCTCTACCTGGGGACACAAAAGCGACAAAAATAAATCTACTGCACCCGTTGTAATATTCGGAATCTTTATCTTTCTTTCTACTTCTAACTATCTTTTATTTCCTAGCGCCTTGCTTGGCAATACCCCGCTTCTGGCTTTCATGTTGAGCGTTCGCCCAGGTGTAGAAAGGCAATAGGTTCTGTCCCCAGGCCGGGACATACCAAATTCCTTAAAATGGTAGTTGTGTTCCCTGCTTAACGTTCATCATTAAGGGTAATGGCAACAACTGGTTCACCTGTTGTTAGAATAATCTGACCAGGCGGAATGCTTTACTGAGTGCCTTTGGTAAGGCGTTTCAGTGAGATAGCACCATAAAGTCGGCATCAGATCTGCGCTATCACAAGGAGGCAAGTACACCAACATACCCTGTCTCCAGCACACATACACACATGTACGCTTACACAACACACATGTAGGCACGTCTGTAAATGACAGCTTTTACATGACGTTGAAAAAATAAAACCCAGCGAAACCTGATGGCTGTTCAAGCATGTACGATAACTACACAATATGAACTAAATGTTGAATAATAAGAAGTATAATTGAAGTTTCTATAAGATAAACATATTTCAAACATGGCATATCAAATATTTCATTTGGAATTCATAGGCAGTATGAATGCTTACTGTACAAAGGACCTTAGCTCGCTTAATTGAATTTGTCTATGTCGAGTTCAGTTGGTATTTCCATTGCCTATGCATGACAACTGAATCCAGTTCAATACTTTAATGTGCCCGATCCTTCCATTGTTCCCATACACCCATTCCACACATACACGCACATACAAATGTGATGAAGCAAACTCATGACACGAAAATAATTAATATTGTCCTAATTAACAGCAACCTTCAAATATGCACACGAGCTAAAACTATGGAACAGTGTTTTAGTGAAGGCCACAATCTCACCAACTCTGCCTATGTAACACATGCACATTCTCTGATGTAAGAACGATCACCATCTGAACATGTTAATGAGCATGCTTTTAACAAACAGGATATATATGCATTGAAAGTTTCAATGACAACAAGAAAATGACCCAATGTGACTTATGTTACCCTAGTTAGTTGCAGCTGACGTAGATAAAAATTGATAACGTACCTTGTAATGATAATGACATCACCACTGCAGCTCTGTCTGTTAGACCCAGCATGTTGTTCACTCGCAAAATACACTCGACCATACCCGGCTCCTGACAGCATTAATAATACCCGATGCATCACTTACGCGCCCTCCTAAAGTAACCGACAATAATACACCTTTGTTGTGTTACTAAATATAGTTATATTTGCTCTATTCCTAGAACCTTACATTCGTGTAGGGGTCAGAGGTAGAACGGAAAATTTCAAATAGAGAAACCACTTTTTCATGTTATTTAACGGATTCATGCACAGTGTTCTTTATACAATAAAATCAAACAATTGCTACTATATGTGTATGTATATATATGTTTACTTGCATAATAGACAATGGTGCATTACAAACTTTGGAATTCGTCGTACAGATATGTCAATGTTGAGTAACGTACAGATTTTGCACGCTTGATATTGACATTTCGTTTCTACATGTCTATATAGCTATGAACTTTTGTACCGTGGTACACTTTTCTTTTGTACACAAAGATATAAAAATCCATATCATTGTGTACCGTGGATGGTACATAATGATAGGAAAGGACACTTATTATCACACCTATGCTTTTATATTTTTCTGCACCAATACGACGGCTGAAAGAGCTGTGGCCCAGAACAAAAAAAAATCATTAAACGGTCGGCTATCAAATGTTATCAAGTGTGACAAATTACCTTTTGATAAGGCTGTCATCACATACACGGAGTGTTTATCTCATGGGATACATTGTATATGCAATTCTCAATAAATCTGGCTTCAATGGCAATCATAATACATTTAGCTTTTAAAAATGTCATACACTAATCAGTTAATATCATTTACAAAATAATGTTAAGCGTTCCTACAACAATTTCAAACGATTTTTTCCAACACTCACGACTACATCCAAATTTTTTTTTAAAAAAAGCATCATTAACTCGAAACTGGAATTGATAGGGACCAGTCGATAGAATAAAAGACTTCTACATATGCTAATGTATCTTTCATTGAATTTGGATTATAAAACGGTTCTTTTATGAGAATGTAATCAATAACAACATGTTGGACGGCATACATCTTTAAAAGAACGAACGTCGCTTTACCCTTTATATGAGAGTGGGTATTAAGGCCCAATATTTGCGGAAATGTAACACTTATGGTACATGAAGATTTATTTTCATTGTGTTCCACGATACACTTTAACGTGATACATACAGAATTGAAAAAAAAAAGTGTCCGCCTCCTGTCGGCCATCTAGTCTTTCTTGCGTATAAAAAAATTGAATATATTTCCCCTTTCATTCACCGACCAGTTTACGTTGAACTTCAGTCAGACGGTTAACTCAACAACGGTAACAGAGATGGTGTAAAAGTGAAAGCTTAGTAATATGACAGGACTTATAAATGGTCAAATTGAAATATATGTTAATCTTTTTTTTATATATATATATATGCTTATATGTTTATCTTAGCAGAGAACTAATGCCATGTTTGAAATTGTGTTTACAAAACGAGCAACAAGTGACCATGTCTACGTGTGTTATACTTATCCATTATAGACTTTGTTCATGTGACTATGTGGTCATATAACCTTAAGAAAACGATTTCAATCGAGGCAAAGTCGAGGTTAGTATCTCTTTTCACGTCAATAGACACATATACACATTCATCAAAATAAGAGTCCTTCATTGTTATATCAGACAGGAAATCAGAAAACCATCACGCTATTTTTATTTACAAACAAAATGGAACGTAAAATCGGATATAAAAAATAACTGCATTAAGAAGAGAGCATTGTGACAATACAAATGAATTGACGTCATATTCATAATATTAACCTGCTTTTATATAAATAACCGACCTCCACGTGATTATAATCCGTCAGCAAAGAGAATGGAGGAAAATGATATCATTAGATATAGTTATTTATATTTGAAGCATATTAAACTATGTAAACATACGCCGCATGTAAAAATAAGCCTTGTTTTCATGACCTACATAGTTTATCTGTGTCATAGCATTGAAATATGAGGCGAGGAGGTACCTGTCACTAGCACTCCTTCAGAATATGCAGAGTCATTGAAGTGCATCGAAAACCTGAATAATTACATCAACTCGTTAACTGATCGAACGATGAATCGAAGGCCATGAAATATCAATATTTCTTTTCATAATAGGAACTGCTCAACAATGTAATAAAAAATGGCCAACATGTAATGTGCGAGTCGGATGAAGTGTTACACCAATTTTATGTTTAAAAACGTAAGTTTGTCATACATCAGCTCATTATTGCTGTTTTATGTACAGTTTACAGACATCATTTATCTATCGAATTTTCATCATTATGATATTTGTAAAGTTAACGCTCCCATTGTGTTTTGTATGAGACTAACACATAATTGTTAAATCTACATAGCGCTCCACGGGTCTTAAATTCACGTGTGTGTATATATTAATGTGAACATCATGATGTGACCTTGATAATCTCTTTTTCAATGTCAATGTTATCTTTCAATGGAGTCCCACGTCCTTCACTTGTTGTTGCTGTAATAAATCTGCATCTCACGTGACCAGTAACCCGTATAAATCCTCGCATTACAAAACTATAACGTAAGATCTGCATTTCCTTTTAAGTACACACATCAGGAGATATATCGATTCTATCAAGCTGTTTTTGCGAGAGTGTGAAGGGGATGGTTGGACCTATCCCCCTCCTTCCCAAGTAGCTCCCTTAAATCTTGTTCACTAGTACTAGCTATGCCCAAGCTAAGGGGAGATAACTCCAATTGAATTTTCGCGCCGCGCCAAAATTTCGTCACACTTTTATACCATCGGAAGAACGGTAATTTTATCGTGCTTGTCCATGTTATAGAAATGGATACATGGTTGGAATTTTATCTTCGATATCCCTCGTCACTTTACTACAGTCTATATTACAAATATCATGGCGGAAACGCAAGGAGCGGAGATTGTGAAATATTGCAGAAGCGACAATTTCCTTATAAAACCGAGTACATCCATCAAAATTATATACAAATGTTCAGTAATTATCCCTTAAAATAAGTATATATATATGCCTATCTGTCAAAACCGTTCTTGGTATGAAAAATGCTGTTGAAATCCCAAGGGGTAGTATAACGGTAAATCCAATATGGCGGACACCTCGCCTCGAAAA